AGTTATACAAACAAAGTGTCATTAAGCGTTATAAAGACGAGCTAAATGATAGCGTTATATTATAGGCGCGTCAATGAAAAATGACTCTTACTTCAAACGGTCTTTATTTTTGGCATGTGATAAATAGAATATTAAATTCGTGTAAGTTCATTACTGAATTTATTGCACTCGTTGAATAAAATAATATTATGCTCGCCGAAGGCTCGCATAATATAATTTTATTCAACTCGTGCAATAAATTCAGTATTGAACTTACACTCATTCAATATCCTCTATATATGTACATTCATAAGAAATACCAATAAAGTTAATATGAACATGCCTTAAATGAAATTTAACTTTTCGATTATTGCATTCAGCTGTATTTTAGTAATGCATGTAGCCCATAAAGTTTGTCTTTTACATAAGGCGTTTATAAACCCTGGTTTGTTCGTCAGTTTGGTTTTTTTAAATAACCAAATTTAACTTATTAATAGAGACACGGCAGAGATTTATCGTATTACAGTAAATTACTCATAATTACCGTACACCACTCAAACAAGATAATAAAAAGTTCCTTTAACCAGGAACATAGATTGATTTATAAACATTTTGTTCTTACGAACCATTTGCTTAACACTGCTTAAAGTTGCTTTTGCCAACGGTTAAATTGCTTAGAAGCAACAACTTCTTACAATTATAATGCTTCGGTCGAAATTAAAATAAAATATTTGTGGAGGAATAACTTTTGTGGATGTATAATTACATTCGCACTTTTTTCTTTCATTCTTTTTGTCAACTTGTTATATTTATCTGGTCCTACCTTTTTTATTCCCTTTCTTGAAAAGATATACTCACCCAGTCAACACGAGTTTATAATCAACTTGTATTAGTATTTGAGAATATTATTAATTGATGATGAGATATTGAAAACAAAATAATTTAAACTATCTCATGCACAAAGTTAATCAATCAGCAATGTTTCAATAGGCTAATCCCTCTTTATCAATGGGCTTTCTTATGAACAACATATTAATCTTCTTCTTTCTTACATTAAGCACGGGTTTATTACATATATAAATCCGTGCATTAAGTTATTTACTATAAATACAGGAAAAGACATCATTGATATCAATAATACAAATTACACAAAAAGTGATAATGACTTTTGCCTTCAAATTTGTGAGTCTGCGAATCTTTGAATAGAGAATGTATCACTCACAGTGAGAGATATTTCATTCTTAAAATAGTATTATTATATTTTTCTTTATAATACATTTTATCTAATTTAAGTAGAGAGAAATATACAGATAATTAAGCATTACATTTACCATGTATTTTAGAATACATTGACAAAATTTTAAATAAAAAATCTAAGGGACATTATTCAATTAACTCTCATAACAACAATTAGGAAGAGGATGTGAGTTATTTCCCTTTCATTTCATTCAAAACCAAAAGAGGAAGTAAAAATAGCAAAATTTCCAGCTACCTGCAGGTCGAAAGAAAAAGTAACCATTTTTCTAGATTATCTCTATGAAATACCATTAAATACAACAATCAAAGTAAGTTTAAAACTTTAATTTTATCCATACAGCTTCACATTTATATAAAATGAACAATGTAAGAAAGTAGTTCAGGCAATATTTCACATATTGTCTTTAATTTTAGTGTCTCCCTTTATCAATCTTAAACAAAAATACATATTTGTTTTATTAATTCTCTGTTTTAATTAAATAGAAATATACATAATGAATTTTATCCTATCATGTATTTTTACAATATATTATGTTGTTATATATATCTTAATTTCCACGTAACTGGTCAAATGAAAAGAGATATTTTCTCTTGAATATTTCTATGAAATACTATATTAAATCCAACATTTAAAGTAAGGTGGAAACTTTAATTTATATACACAATTTCACATTTATATTGGGTGAATTGATTATGTAAGAAAGTGTAACATAGATATTTGAAAAGTGTTTAATTTTAGTGTCTTTCTTTTATCAAAATTTTGAAAACAAATATTCAAATTTACATAATAGAAGAAAAATCCCACAACAAAAATTTGCAATATTTTTTTATCAATTGACATCTACCTGGGCAACTTATTTATCATATGTTTCATAACGTCTATGATCGCTCTTATGTTCTGTTCTGCTCTACAGAATGTAGGACGAATAAGTAACAAGCAAATGTATGTTAAAAAACTGATTTGGTAGCTGACTGAAACAATTTTCTTTTTAACTAAATAAATGTATTACAGAATGTTTCAAGAAAATGCCTACAGGGAACACCTATCACTGATGTTATCAGAGGTATTAAATGACATTGGTGTCAATGAAGGAATGGTGATGAAAGGAAGAAGAGTGAACTTACTGAGAGAGACTATGACTAATATCAGGTCCAAGTTATCTGATAAAAATATTACTGAATATATTCTAGGGAGTCAGTGTGAAGATACAACTACTATAGGACTTAATTCAGACATTGATATTGTAAGCTGTGTGCGTGATATCAATATAATACAATGCTGGTCAGAGTGGGAACGTGGCAAGATTAACTACTTAATGATACAGGATGAAAACACTACCCCCGGGTATTGTTTCTTACAACTGCTCCATCCTTATGTACCTCTTTGTTTAACCGGCTATCATGATGAACATCATATTACTGATAGAAGAGGACGAATATTGCTAAAAAGCACATTAATCAGTATTTACCGTCAGGGTGCTAATCAGCATCATGGACCATCTATTGCTGGCCAAGGGCGACCTGGATTTTGTGACATTGACAGAGTAGTTGCTTATCCATGTAAATCAATGCCTCAATCAGCATCAGATTGGTTAGACAGACAGGGTATTGGCGGATGGCCAACTCAAGAGATGAGAAGATATGCAGTCAGTACTTGGTGTTTTGTTGTTGCAACTGGTAGTAAGGTTAGTGAATATGCTGAATTGGAATGGAGAATATCTACATTATTGACAGAAAGATGTCTTATGTTTAGTCTAAATATAACGCAAATAAGGTGCTATGTGCTATTGAAAATGATTCTTAAATCCTTCCTTAATCCTCAAGATGAAATAAATATATCAAGTTTCATGTGTAAAACAGTTCTATTCCAATTGTAATAGAAAAGACAGAACCAAGTATATGGAAAGATAACAATTTATTGACATGTTTAACATACTGCTTATTAGAATTACACAGTTGTGTACAGAATGACTGTTGTTCACATTTCATTATACCGGAAAATAATTTGATGGCAGGGCAATTTACAGCTGAGACAAAACATGAACTTTCAAAACATATTTGCGAACTTATACAGAATGATAGGCAACAGTTACTTAGAATTGATATTGATGATCTTGGCCATAGACTTCAAGTTAAACTGAACATGGTACAACACAGATATTACTATTTTATGTCTTCTCTTGAAATACATGAACGTGTTTCTGCCTCGGTATATCTAAACTTTGCAAGGGCCATAAGTATACATTATAATTATATTTTAAATCATTTACACAATGACAACATTAGAACAATTAAGCAACATATAGTAAAATTGGTGAATTTCAGTGATAGTGGTAAGAGATTAGAACATGCTGCATTCAAGTTCCTTGCACCTTTTCTTTTTACCACATATGGATCTACCCTAGCATCATCAAGCATTGGTCAAAATAATCAAGTGTCATCTCAAGCATTGGTCTGGCTATCAGCTGGTCTAAACTCAGATATCTCATCTAGCAGACTTAAACTAGCATCAGTGTTCTACAGTACAGGATATATGGAGGAAGCTGAATTCATTTTGAGACACACTGAACAACAATATTACTCTTATCCTATCATACCTATCTGTGGCTGTTGGAAAACCCCTCCACCAGCAGTTACAGCAGAATTAATGAGGTTATGTAGTGAACAAAGTGAGAACTATATAAAAAAGACAGCTATTTGTGTCAGATTCACACAGAAAGAGATCAACTGTGTTCCTCATGAACTGAAATATGAAATGTTCAGGTCTACACAAGATGACATGATACACAGAGATAGAAGGAAAGACTGTTGGATGGACTGTGCCGTAGTTGATTCTCTACCTTTCCTGTACTTCCTACAATACAAGATCTACAGTCGTCTGCAAAGATGTCAAGAGCAACAACAAGCAATTAGTAAACTTATAAGAACCATAGTAATTGATGTAAACCTCAGACATAGAGAAACAGCTATCAACATTTTAGGACAATGTTTGGAACAAGAAAACATACCTCAAGAAGCATTAAAATGCTACCTGCTTTCTCTTCAACAAAGGGCAAGAAACAATGCAGCTAATTTCCATAGCAACCAGTGTTGGAATGGTTTTAACAACTACATTGTATTTTAGGACTTCATGATATGACAATGTTCTATATCTAGAATAGTTTGAACAACTATATTGGATTTTACATGACTTCATAAAAAATTTTCATCAACATTTGAAAAGTGTTACGAGAGATGGAGTTGACTTGGTTTATGACAAATATCTGACATTCAAGGATCCTCATTGCTCAATGTATGATGTCATTTTTTCATGAAGAAACAGACTCAATAGAAAAAACACTCTATATGATTGAATCTTTATTCCGCAAGTGTCCTGCAAAATAAATCACTAGCAAATACTATCATAAAATAATTCACAAGTCAATTTACAGCAATGAAATGTGGTTCAACAAAAATGAGAAATTGGTGAAAAACATCTACCTTCCATCAAAAATAATAATTGTATATATAAACTACTAACAACAATGTAATTCTTAACAATGGCAAAATAGGTTTTGTTAGAACTAATTGATATTTATAACCAGTTTTTGTATTTATATATACATGTATATATCAAAACTGCCTGGTAACAGTTACACTTCTACCACCTCATGAAGTTTTTAAATCATATAACCAGTACTGAGATCACCAAAATAAAGATAAACCCAAAAAGGTGTGGTGATAAATTTGTGTCAATATATTGTTTGAAATTTCTGAACAGTTTCTTAAACAGTGAAATAAAACAATTTAGAACAGTTTAAAAGAGCTGCATGTAATATTATTGTAAGAAATTAAATTTTGAGAATTTCCAATATATCAGACGTTACAAACTTGTTACAGTTATGTAAGTCTAATATATCAGACGTTACAAGCTTGTTACAGTTTATGTAAGTCTAATATATCAGACGTTAAAGGCTTGTTATAGTTTATGTGGGTCAAGCTTTGTCCAGAAGCAAAGATATTTCAAAGCGACGTAATATTTATAGGACTACCCAGTGACTCAACAAAATCCAGACCAATATACCCCACACTATACAAGGGGTGTGGCTGGGGTTACAACTGATTGGTGCTTTGTGAGTGTTCAATTAAATTTCAGGCACACTATTATTGTATTATAATACATGTACAAGACACCAGGTATACACTGGCTTATATTCCTTCAAGAGTGATGTGATATGTATACATTTAAAGTGCTGATATTAAAATGTTAACAAGTATATGATAATGAACACATAATGGTAGCACTAACAAACGAGACAGATAGAAGAAAATACAATGAACTTCAAAGTTTAACCACTATTAATTGGCACTTACGGTGGGGAAAAAAATCTGAACAAGGCAGTATTATTCACTCTTGTCAAAAAAATAGACTTATTATTGTCAATGCATCAACATAATGTATTGTGACACAATAAGTTTTTTTTCTATTAAGAACTTATGGCATCATGTAGTGTACATCTTTTTTGTTTGTCAATTCTTCGCTAGGTGTAAAACAAATACCACCGTATGAATTATGCAGATTAGTCCGTCTATATCTAAGATGTTTGGGGTAGATACTGTCCTTATAGTGTCGAAGACCAAACAAACCCATCTGAGCATTTATTCAGGAAGTGGGCACAAGAACAGAAGTACAAATGAATTTATTAACTTAGCAGAAATAAAAGAATTCATTGTAACTGGTTGCTAGTAAGATTGGATCCCAGAACATTGATACTTTATCCAATGGAAATCAGTGGCCTTTACCATTAAAGCCTCAGGCCCTTATACCCCCTTAATTCTGCAAGATTAACATATAAATCTATAACAGAAATTACACAATAACATTTCTTTAACAATTCGAATAATCCTAACAAGCTCAAAATCATTTTAGTTTGATTTTATTTTGCAAGAAAAATGGCATAGATCCATACATTTCTAAAACAAATCTACGAAAATCTTTTTAAAAACAAAAATTCTGTTTATAAATAAAGTTGCGTGTCCTGTTTGAATACAAATGTACATATAAGAATTACAGATCTACGTTACTTCAGAAAATATCTAGATTCTTAACAAATAGCATAGAGCAAACAGCAATTGCTTCAGAAAATATCTAAATATAGCATAGTCAGCAAACAGCAACACCTTACCCCTAACCCTTAACCTACTGAATCTCTAAAATGGACTTGTCCAGCTTCTGTTTTTTGGAAGAATCTATCATCAATATCGGGGATCTCAGGATAAAAAAGTTAGCCAGCCAACAGTATAGAGCCTGGTCAGACTTAATGGAAGCGCAGGCTGGCCTGGCTCTATACTCAGGTGGCAAAAGTTGATCACTTTTGGTTCCAGCAGGTTTTGGGATAAAACATGATTATCAATAAAGACCATATGGTTATGTACATCAAACTTCATTACACACATTACATACATTTTTTATAAAATTGTCATAACATTCAAACAAGACTATTATTCCATAAAATATACACTGAACATACATTTTTCTGACATGCATATATATATATTTATAAATTTACCATAAACTCAAAATGAGAAATAAATTAAGATACAAATATCACAGTAAGAAGGGACGGTTTTAAAAATGGATGGTTTTTGAGATTCCTACACATTTTATGACAATTATCGTTTGTTGTTTTCTTTTTTAACCATGAAACCCTCTGTTTTATCAACATGTTTTCTTAGCCATGATACCATGGCTAAAGTATCTGTTTCACTAGCATCATCATCATAACTAAGGCTGTTAATGTACATCAAATAATATAACCTTTGTGATATAAGTAACTGTGGAACATTTAATTTTCGAGGCAGTGATAAAACACCTGGCTCAGATGTTTAATCTCAAGAATACATGATAAATTCATGTATTGTAATAGAACTGGAATTTTCATATGGCAGGAACTGGTCTATTGTAAAAGAGCATAAGTTGTTAAATGGACAACACACTTGTATATTCTCAATACTTGATAGTACAAAAACACCATTTACAGTTAATGAAAAGTAATTCAGTAAATAACACTGCTACAACTTCTGAGAAAGTAACATGCGATTATAATCCCTAAGACAAGTGTGAAGTTTTAAGCAAATATGTTCAATTGTAATTGAAATGTCACATTTTGCCAACACCAATGAGACAATAATAAGGATAACTCCCTTTATTCTTCTTAATAATTTATCTTTAACAAGAAAATAAAACATAATGTAATATATGAAATAAAGACATACCAGAATAATAAAAGATTGCTCATTTTGAAAAAAAAAAGTTAACCCGCTGAAACTGAAAGTGACTAGCCTTTGCCACCAGTAAAGAGCCAGGCCAGCCTGTTCTAGCATACAACCAGACCAGGCTGTTAGTCTATACTGTTGCTTGTTCATTTTTCTGTAGTTCGATATTGAATTTCTTTCAATTCAAATAAAACTGTTTCAAATTTAAAACATGGCTAGTCTATTACACAAATTCAGCAGGTTTATAGGTTAACTAATACTTAACCAGAGTAAAAAATGAAATTCAGCCACAAGGAGAGATTCATTTCACAGAAAATTTTACTTTCTTCAGGAAAAAAAATAATTCTTCCAAGATAAAATTTCCAAAAACAGTCAACAAAAAGATTACAATACTTCAATATCAACACAACAAAAGAATATTGATATGTATGACAAATATCATTTTAACACAGACAAAACTAATACAATGAGACATCAGGCCCCTCATGGTTTTCAAGATCATGGCAATTTTGACATTTCAGCAGTAAAATAGGTTAAAGGAACTCAACTGAGGTCTAATAACCTAAAATAGTAAAATTTTAAATTCTTTCACTATTCAAATGGAACTCTTTAAATGGAAAACTATGTAATAGATAATATGTAACCAACTTGGTACTTAATTGATTATCAATTTTTTTAAGCAGGTTTTGGGTCAATTTGAGTAAAAAGCATTGCAAAGCTTTTCATTTTGAGGTCAATTTGCACAATAAAATTTATTTTCTCTGAGAAGTCGAGTGAGAAAATGATCTTAAATTTTGCAAACAATTTTTATGTCCAGACCTACAAACAGTCATACAAAAATCTTGAAAAAATATTTTTGGTCCCTTCATGTCAAAAAACCTCAGTGGAGTCCCTTAAAGTTTATCATGTTATGAATGAATAATTTACAGATGATATGGTAATGAGCATGATTTTTGCAGTAGGCTTTTTGGTTTAATGCTTTCTGTGGCAGTGAAGACTCTCTTCATATATCTTTACTCTTGTAGGATAACATTCTTTTTTACTGGCATTTTGTTTCATTTGCTTGAGAAAAAAAATCATTTATTTTATTTACCTTTGTAAAAAGGCTGCTTCATATATATGTATGGTGGTGTGAGTTTTAAAAAGAAAAAGTATATGTTGTTTCATACATGTAAATGGTAGTTGAAGTTTTTCGCAAAAATTTTGTTTTACAAATTTCTTATATATCAAATCATGGTAATGAATGACACTTCCTCCGAAACCTAAATCCACCACTACCAACACTGTCTCGAGGGGATAAGATATAAATATAATTGCGAATAGTATATATACTCGACCTCTAAAATCATCAGTGCCAGGACGACACACGACTGCTATGTGTGAGTGTAGTTGACGGTGGTTCGAAAAATCAATTCCAATAATTAATCGATAGTAGCGATTGTTATAACCTATATATCTCTCGGTAAAGTCTCATATCACACCCTGGTTACTGGCACTAAGGTGAGATTTTTTTTTATATTCAACAACAAGAATAGCAAACATCACAATACCAATTCACATAAACTGGATGCATCTCTCTTGATCGTTTATAGGACTAACCTCTCTATACTATAAAATCCATATAAAAGAGCACTGTGAAACTCTATGTATATAATAAATATTACACCCTGATTAGTCACTATGATACACAATACTGTACTCTCAGCCCCATGGGTTCTTCCCTCCAGGGTCTAAGGAATCTGTAAAATAAATACAATAACAGAAATATTAAAATGCTTGTAACTTTTTCTTTTTTATTAAAGACATAATAGGAGTATTTGTGGTCAAAATTTTTATATTTTTCTGTCGTAAAAAGTCGAGTTTTACGGA